TTTCTAATACATGCTCACAGTATACATTGCAAAAATTTTACCTCTTTTACTCTTAAATTTTAATATTTATATAAAATTTATTAATAAAGTATATTTAATACCATCACAAACTAAATAATTACCCTTCAACCCATGGTTTTTTGATCAGGCCTGGCTATGTCTGCAAAAAAATTTCAGATCAATCTATAACCAATATTTAAAATTCAAAAATCTTAAAGCACCTCTATTTTAAATTTCAATATGATTTCCATCACATTTTTAAATTTTGATATTTCTAATACATGCTCACAGTATACATTGCACTAATTTTACCTCTTTTACTCTTAAATTTTAATATTTATATAAAATTTATTAATAAGGTATATTTAATACCATACACACAAACTAAATAATTACCCTTCAACATCTATTAATATTTTAAATTTAATTATATTCAAGTTGGTGCATGCGTGAAACTTTAATATATATATAATTAATATTTTAAATATATTTATATTCAAGTTGATGCATGCGGTAAAGCATATGCCTTTGAAACGGGAGGCTCGAGTTCGATTCTAGAGAGCAAAAAATTAACATTACACTATATAGTCTCCTTAAATTTAAAATAGATTAGGGAGATACGAAACGATCGTGTTATGATAATGGAGATTATATATATTAGATTATTAAATACATAATAATTTTCTTTAATGCATTTTAAATTGATTAAATTTTGTAAATAAATGCTGTAATGTAATTTTACTTATATCATAAATAAATAAAAGTAACTAATAAAGTTAAATTCTACTTTATTATAATTATTTTAATTATAATTATTTTATTAAGAGCCTTTTAAAATTATCTAATGTTATATATCAAGTGTAGCTTAGATATTTCCTCTAATAAGAACTTGCTAAAATAATTATATATAAAATATATTAGTGATGTGCCGATATTTTTTATCGGATAGGGCCGATTTCCCCCATTTTAAAATATCGGTTATCGGCCAATATTATAAAATTTGATCCGATATAAAATGGCTTAACAAAAATAAAATTTTTAAAAAAGGTTATATCTAAAATCATTTATTTTTATAAATAAAATCAAAATCCATTTTTATGTATATTTTTTTAATAATAATAATTAATTAATAAACATTCTGCCATATTGTTATTTTTTTGCGCATTCAGTTTATAAAAGTGTGCGAGATTCTCTTCAGAATCTGTTTTTAGTAAAGCTGGTGGTATTGACAGTTATTATCGCCGCAAGCTGACCTCTGATAAATTGGAAATATTGGTATTTCAAAAAAGAAATCTTCGATATATTAATGTTAAATAAGTTATTATCGCCGCAAGCTGACCTTTGATTTGGAAATATTGGTATTTCTAAAAAGAAATCTTCGATATATTAATGTTAAATATTATTTTAATTTCATAATATAATTGTTTATTAGTTATTATGTATATAGATTAATGTTATTACTTATTATATAAAAGTAATTTAACAATAAAAATATTTTATATACTTTTAGAATTGCAATTGAATTGAATATAAACTATGACATAAGTTATGGTATAGTTAAATTATTGATGTTATACTAATAAAAAGTATATTAAAAATTAAAACCATTGGTATCTTTACAGAATACAAAATTAGATATGATATCGGATCGGTAATCGACCGATATAAATTTAATATCGGGATTATCGGATCGGCCTCCAAAAAGTGGTATCGATACACCCCTAAAAAATATATATCCAAAATGATTTTAATTTGATAATCAACCATCTTCTATTAAAAATTTTAATAACAATTATCTAAGAGGGACTTAAGTGGTATTATTATGTTAATAATTATAAAATAAAAATGTATAATATACTTTAATATGTTTAACAAAGTTTGTAAAGGAGTTTGTTGAACCTTTAATAACTTTTTTACTTGTGCAATTTTGACATTCAGTTTGTACCTTGATCTTTTTCACATGAATTACTTTATAAAATTTTCCATCTAGAATTTAAGATTCGGATTTGATTCAGGAGAACCTATCTCCATAATTTCATCTTCACTTTGTTAAACATTCTACAAAGTAAAAAATATTACATATAAAATATATCCTTCTCTTATTTAGTTTTGGTGTTGTTATTTTTAATCTATCCATCTTTGTGACCTATAAAATTTCCAACTAATTTTGGTTATCAATATATTTAAAATATAGCGGGAAAAAATAAAGAAAATAATACAAGATTTCACGAAGAAAATAAAGTTACATTGTGTGATATGTAAATGTTTTAAACATAAATATTAAAAAGAATATGTATCTTTTTAAAGAAAATGAAAAAGATACAAGATTCTTTTCAAAATAAAGGATCTTAGATATAGATACTAGTATCTTATTATAAATGTCAATAAGATACTGAGTACAAGATACAAAAGGATCTTTATCTTAGATACAAGTATTCGAGGTACTGCCCAACTCTGCTCAGCAGTATACGCTATAATCAGATCTATAATTGGATTATTCAATCATAAATTTATTGATAATAAGGGCAACAAGGGTAACCATCAGTACCAATTTATTTAAATAAAGCAAAACTCATCACTATTAATAATGTACGTGTTTATTTTTCTTAAGCTATAAAAGAATTAAATTTTATTTTATCTAATGGCTCATGAATATTCATGTGGATACAATACTCTTTTTAAAGCAGGAAAGGATGCTTCACAGATTGCTGTTGTCGAGTAACTTAACATACTTTATGTGTAAATATCTTTTTACTATTGCATAGTCGAATTGTTTTTTATCCATAATTGGTAACAATGATGGATTTTCGTTAAATATATTAATGATTTTATTATTTGTTAGTTGTTTTTCTTTTCTATAATTTCCCACCATATTATTATTAGCAAATATAAATTTTAAAAATAACGCTCTAAAAACCCATATGAACCTCTGAAATGTAGCCACAGACCCACAATATCTTTAAAATTTAAGTTTATAGTAGTTTAAACATATTTTTTGCTCAAACAAAGAATAATTTTATATAGAATAGGGTTAATCTTTTATCTAATATAAGATAATTATTGGATAATTAAAACCTTTATTATTTTTTATTTTGATAAATTACAGCATTTAAAAAAGTTAATTTTGAGACTATAAATCATATAATGTGTTATAAAAATGTTATATAATATCTGATATTAAAAAAAATCATAGCTGCATATTTAGTTATACATTATTGGTTAAATAATTAACCATTAGAGTGAGTATTCTAGAAAAAAACCCTAAGGCTTCCAAAAACTTCAGGAAGATCTCCTGTCTCCCCTAGTTTTTATAAAATATATATTAAGAATATCAAATAACCTATATTCTTAAGATTCAGAAAATGTTTTATTTCATATTAGTCTAATATTAGTGAATTTATTAAGATTTGAACGAAAAGTGTCCCAACCATCCCTGGTTTTCTACTTTATTTATAATTCTGAGACAATAGATTGAAAATGAAATTATAAACAGGGGAAAAGGTAGAGGAGATGGGAGCTCTATACGTATACCGGAGGAATATAGGATATTTTTGTTTATATTAAAAATATTATTCTAAAGTTTCAAAAATAAATCTTATGTAGATGTAGACAATTATGATATACACCATAGACGAAAAATATTTCTCCTATGTCATTTCATATATAATAAAAAAATAGGTTTTTATACAACTAAATCCAGGCGGATAACAAAGATAGGGGAGGGGGGAGGTTCCCTGTTTCCATAAATATCATTTTAAGCTAATAGAAATTTCCCCCATATTCACCTTCTCCCCCAAAAAAGTATACAATATATTATTATAGAGAAGAATTTGAAGGAAAAATTAGAGGAAAAATTAGTAAAATTAATAATTTTTTAAAATAACGACTATAATTTAAAAATTTCGCATATTTATAAAAAAGAATAAGTGAAACCCAAAAATGATTTTTATAAAAATATAATATCGCCAAAGGCCTATAGGAAATGGGCCTAAAGGCTTCCAATAAAATTCATAGTGGAAACCCCACCTAAAGTGTTTCCCCCTCCTCCTTAGCAAAATCCTAGCTATGCCTATGTCTAAATCTTACTATTTTTAAGTCTGGATTTTTAATATAGATCTTAATTTTTAAAGATAATATGTCATTCATATGTAAGCCTAAATTCTATTCAATCATCTGTGTGAGTTTAATATTATGAGAATAACTATTCAAATTTTTAGCCTCATCATTTGTCAAAGTAGTGGGTTAGGGGCACGTTGGACAGAGGCTTGTGGGGAAATTTATGTGAGTCAAATCATCATTTTTATTTCAAACGATACAAAATACAATGAAAAGAACTTTTTATAAAGTTGCGATGTGAATAAAATTAGCTCAGCAAATTATATTATACGAGTCTAAAGTTATGGTTCTAATTAAATATATCATTTTATTATTTAGTTATCTGCCAAAAATTTTAAAAATCGAAGTTGCATACGCTAAAGCAACTATAAAATATTTTTCCTATGTATACCCTGAAACTATTTCCATTGTAATATGTTTTTTTTTCACTTAAAGTTTACTTATTTTTAAAAATTATCACAAATATTAGGTAAAGAAGTTATCTAGTAAAACATAATCTTAAGTGCCCCGGTCTCCTTTACTCTAATTTAAAAGGTTTATTATAATACATATATTTGTTCTTTGTAAAAGTTTTCTATAACTCTTGATTTGAAGTTATATTTATGGCTCAAATGACATATTTAATCCTATTTATAAATTTAAAAATTATTTCGTGATAGGGGAAGTTAAGTTGTAAGGTTAGTTAATAAATATAAATTGCATATATGAAATTAGATTGCAACTTCTTATTTTTACAAACTCACTTTTAACAAAAACATTATTTTTAATGAATTGATTTGATATGAATAATTGAGAATTTTCTTAATTAATTGTCATATATTTTCAATAATTCTTATTCAGGTAAATTTATGAATATTTATATATTTACTATATATTATTTTTACCTTTTAGTATATATGATGAAATAATTTTTTTCCGGAAATAAGAAATCCCATTTTTATTAGTTGAAATTGTTTATCCGATACATACAATAATCGTATAATTATAATTATAATAATCTGGGAATATACAATATTGATAAGAATTTATTTCATCATTCTAATTTTTAAATTTATATTTTCTTTCCTATTATTTTAAAAAAATATATAAATGAATACCGTTGAATGACATCTGTATAATATAAAAACGAGCCTATCAAATCGCACATTATTTCAAAGTCACTCAAAAAAAATAAAATTTTATTTAAAAAACAAGTGTACTCCATCCCAAAATGAAAAAAATAAAAAAGGTAATTATAAAAACGTTAATATAAAAATATAAGCGTAAGTTAATTATTTTTTTAAAAAATTTACGCCATAATTTAAATTCTTCAAAAAGAAGTATAAAAATAATTATGGATAATTTTAAAATCCAATAGTATTTAAAAGATAATTGTAACCTGGCCAAATAGGGAGCCGAAGGTCTTCCCGAGAGGTACATAGGGCAAAGTTCTGATAAATCCGCTTAACTGACCCTAACCGATCCATGAAAATTTTTAAAAAGGTTTTTTACCATCCGGCCTTTAAAAATATTTTGCACAAGTTTTCCAGCCCGATTAGAAAATACTTTTACTCAACTGGCCCATGGGTCAAAATTTTGTACCAGGTCGCGCCGACCTCTACTTTATATCATCCTTTTTAAATTATGTTTTGAAAATTTTCTTAAGTATAAAATTAAATATTCTAAAAATGTAGGTCTAAATATTTTTTATTTTTCGTTAAATTGTGATCCAACCAACTCAGATCGATCAGACTTAGCTGGACATTCTCTAAGGCCTGGCCAATCAAGAACTTGTATTTAATGTATTTATTCGGACCGGGTAGTAAAGGGGTCAACGGTTTTGGATCAAATCGTAATAGTTTGGCCTATAGCATTGGTTCCGTATACATAGGCGTATAAACTGTCCCAGATTTTCCTAAAGGGAGAGGAAAGTAATATATGGTGAGTTTTTCCCCAAAAATTTTAAGCTTCATGTCCACTTATCGTGCCTTTGGCTAGTTATTGTTTATAAAAATAATTTTTAATGTTCATTTTTTTCGAAAAAAGCTTTTATCTAAAAATTATGAATTAGAGTCGTTAATTAAAAAAATTATTAACTTTTACTTAAGATTTTTTATTTTTGATTATACAATTATATTTCTTCTAAATTGATGCAAATAATAAAATTTAATGAAAATTAAAAGATATATTTCTACTAGTTATATTAATTTTGATTTCCTTTGTTATGCCAATAATTCCAAGGGATAAGCGGATGTGTGGGGAAAATTCTTCATAGTCCCCCTTTCTGTTGTGATTTCTTTTGTCTATATTTTTAAGCCAGACTCATAATTTATAACTTTATTGTATACCTGACCTGCATATCTTAGCGAGATCATTTTGAACTGTTATTTTTTCAATTGTATTGAATTTAAAGTTGTTTGTTCAACCACTCATTTTAAATCTAGATTTTTGCATTTTAAAATTGTATACCCTTGTATATTAATAATGGTAATTGAGATAACATGTAAGGGAGACTGGGGCTAGCCGAACCGATTTTTGAAATCGCTATAACTCCTTTGCTTTTTAGATATGATAAAGAACAATATATGAATCGATACCTATAACAATACTCTATAAAGGTGCCTTATAAATAGTTTCAAGAATATAGTCATATTTTTGAAATTATATCTTTTGTAAAAGTTGAAATTTTGCCCACCAAACCCGAATAGCGGGGTTAGGCAAAACACTGCACGGGGCTTCCTGGAGAGATTATGATTTCTTAGCATACATCCTAAATACCAATCATACACGCACATATCGAAATAATATATAGACAAAATAAATACTCATAAAATTTCTCAAATTATAAAAAAGAGTTAAAATTTTGCTATAAAATTTAATTTCTATATAAATAATTATATAACGTAATAAAAATTAAAATTCTGTTATGTAAAAATCTTTTAAATTTGACATCAAAAATAAAATTTTTAATAATTAATTATTTCAAAAGTTTTTTGCCTATGCATACTAATAAAAGCAATATTAAAGATAAAATTTAAACCTTCTCATCTATTTAATTTTAAAATGTGATTAAGTGGTTTGTCAAGCCCCAGTTTTTACCTAACTCCAATCTCCCCTATGCATTCACTATTTGTCCGTTAATTTTGACTTCTAGTTTATATTGGCAGGTATATTCTCTTCCTTTACTTTAAGTTAAAAATAGGCAGAAAAGATCTAATTTACAAAATTACTGCTTTCCCCAAATTAAACTAGTAGATCTTGGATTTGTGCTATTGGTTAAAAATAAATATCTGGTAGCTTGATAAGTTACAAATTCTTAACGTTATGTCCCTTTGAACAATCACTACCTTACCTAACGAATAGCTAAGCTCGTTAGGGAAATTCGTTAGGGAAAAACAAAAAACCCAAAGCTACTAGAAGATTGGCGAAGAATGTCTTTAAAACAACTACTAGAAATAAGGTTTAAAATGTCTTTAGGGAGGCCTAAATACCAGAAAGCTTAGAACCCTGTAAATTTGATTATTTTTCGAACTTGACCATAATTTTTATCAACTTTTAAATCCGATATGGCCCAAATTTTTTTTAGCCCCGAACCCTACCCGAGGTTTTTTTTCTTCTTTTAAGCATTAGCTCAGCCTGAAATTTTTAATTGCAAAACTATTAATTAAAAGAATTATTTCCTAGTATACGTAACACTACCGATGGCAAAAGAGCTGATAGTTTGACACGAATTCCTTAGGAATATCATAGATTGGGAATACATGTGCATAGATGTGTTTTATACATATCAAATCTTCACAAAGCTTCTCAGTCGCAAAAAACAAGAAAAGAAACAAATCCCATACCAAACAATAATTTTGTTCCAGTGGGTCGCCTCCACTCTAAGTAGTTTCGTTACTAGGCTCTCTGCTTCTAAAAGAGATATGGGAAATTATAAATCATCTCTGAAGATCCCAATCGATTTTTATATCATTGCAAGAAATATCGGCTTATAGTTTTACCTTTCAAATTATATATCCACTTCCATGTATGTAGTTAGTTCAAAAAATAAATAATAGTTTTTTCTACCAATATTTATTCCAGAATTATCTCATTTTATTATGCATATTTTAGTTTAAAAAATGAAAATTAATAATTTCTATTCTGTTTCTTTAATAAATAAAAAAAATCAAACAAAAGTCCCAGCCCAGCGGATCATGTTTTGTTTACCGGCAGTACAGAAGAGGCAAATCCTTTCACTTGCTATTTATTTCTCTATAATCTTTGACGCAATTATATGAATAGAACTGTGAATCCTTGAAATAAATAGGAATTAAAATCCACCTGCTAAACTATCATTATTACACAGTTTGAAATAAGAAAAATATGAGATTGGTGTGAAACAGGTTTCCTGTTATTATCGATACTTTTTGACCATATTATAATTAAAAGTAAAGATTAAGGAGAAAATTGGCATCAGATTTATGTCAAAAGAAACCTAAAAAAATACAAATTAAGCCAAAATTATACAAAAACTTGAACTCATATTTAATACTAAAACAAAGATGATTAATTCTTTTTAACTACATCAAACACTAACATAATATTAAATTGAGAAATATTGAGATTTCCTATATTGTACTTAGAATTAACTCTAAATAGGAAGGAAAAAGCGATGGAGGACTCTGCGATAAAATTAGTTGTTGCTCCAAGATTAAAGTACGGCCCATTTATAAAAATCTGGTCCTATGGGCAGACCCCAACATCCTTAAAACGGTATATGTTATGTTTAAAACCTAGATTATATCGACCCCCCAGTTATGTCCTATAATCATGATCTAATACTAAAACAAACAAGAAAGCTCGAACCTGCATGCACAAAAATGATCCATATACATTACCAAGACTATAAACTACTCAAACAATATGGCTAACCTTGATCTCTTGAAAGTGTAGCACTCTCCCAACAGGCCAAATATAGGTAAATAGTATACCTAGACACACGATACTATGTTCCTAAAACTTTAATAAATCATATGTTGACTTACGAGCCTACACTACACTATGAAATAGTCGAGATAAAGCCCACGTACAGATATTTCTACTATAAGGTGGAGTGCGGGTTGTGTTGACCATTCGTTATAAATGAAGTGTATGGGGGATTTGTGTTGTAAGGAGTGTGCTAATTTTGATTTTATTTTTTCTTCTAATTTTATTTGAATTTCCTTTTTTTGCTAGTTATGAGTGGAATTTCCTTTTTTTTTGCTAATTTGGTTTCTTTATTTTTGTTTGAAGACATCAAAAATAGGAGAAAATAGGGGGTAATAACTATATTGGCTTAGGAGGTGTAGAGGAGCCTACCTATGTACGATACAAAAGAAACGGATTCGGTAAGATAATTGAGATATTGTAGGAGATTGCATGGCTAACTATTAACACCCTTACTATAATAGAAAGTAATTTAAGAATTGGGGAAATTTTAAGATCACTTAACCAAAACATTTTAGAAATATTTTGCATTTAGAAGAAATAAGACCAGATAAAATAAAAATGTTATTCTTAAGTTAGCTAATTTAATGATATATACACTAAAATAATTATTGATCTAACTTTGTGATAAATTTAGGCATAATTACTTCAAAAAAAATAATTGTAAGGATAAAAACGAAATTATAAGTATACTTGAGTGTAATGATGAACCAAAAAATGTAAGATGCTAAAATTCTGCATCTGGATCTAGATATATTTTAATCTGTATCAGTGGCATTGAAAAAGGGTTTGTGGTTGAAACCCATCCTTACTGGAAAATAGGATTAAGTAAAAAAAAAATTGGCTTTCATTTAAAATAGATAAAACCCCCTCTTTAATTTTTTAATTTAAAATAATCTCAGAAATTTATTCTCCTATTTGGAAAGGTGCGTGAATATATGAATAAACAATCTTACAAGACACATTTAATTTTATAAATCAAATTTTTAACCTTGGCGCTTCAG